GTCGTCTCCCATCTGGAGGTGGGTCCGGGGGGGGGACCTGACTCCCTGCCTCCGGCCCCCCCCACTCCCCGCCCCAGGTTCAGTCAACAGCAGGCCTTCGTGCAGATCTTGCAGGAGGTGAACGACTTCGCGGGCCAGCGGGAGCTGGTGGCCGAGAACCTCGGCGTCCGCGTGTGCCTGGAACTGGCCAAGTACTCGCAGGAGATGAAGCAGGAGAGAAAGACGGTGAGGCGACCCCTCGGCGGGTATGGGGTGCGGGGCGGCCCCCGGAGCCCTGGGGAGCCTGACCGCCGGGATGTCCACAGCACTTCCAGGAAGGGCGGCGGGCCCAGCAGCAGCTGGAAAATGGCTTCAAACAGCTGGAGAATGTGAGTTGGGCCGGGGGTGCGGGTGGCGGGTGGCGGGTGGCTTGGGCCTGAGGCTTCAGGGCAGGGTCGCTGCCCCCGTGATCCCAGCAGGGCCCACGGCTCCCTCCGCGCTTTCTGGGTGACTTCCCAGCAGCCCCCCAGACCTGGGCGTCCCCCTGTCTCTGGGATGGTGGCTTCCTCCCTTCACTGGGGTCCTGTCCCCTGCACAGAGTAAGCGAAAATTTGAGCGCGACTGCCGGGAGGCCGAGAAGGCGGCCCAGACGGCCGAGCGACTAGACCAGGACATCAACGCCACCAAGGCCGACGTGGAGAAGGTGTGCGTGGGGTCTGGGACGGGCTCGGGGGTGGCCGGGAAAAGGCGTAGCCGGAACCTGGCAAGTACCCTCCACCTCCATATTCCTCAGGCCAAGCAGCAAGCCCACCTTCGGAGTCACATGGCAGAAGAAAGCAAAAACGAATACGCGGCTCAACTCCAGCGTTTTAACCGAGACCAAGCCCACTTCTATTTTTCACAGATGCCCCAGATATTTGATGTGAGTGCTCCCAGTTCCCAGACCAGAAGTTAGCCAACTCCTGCACATCTGTCAGAACCCCAGCTGCAATGTCCCAATCTCTAGATGGAGAAGGAATTAGAAACCTATAATAACAGTGAGCTGTGCTTTTATTCCAACTCCTTTTCCTGCCAGGAATGCCTGTTATTTTTTTACTCTATCTTTTTGAGTCAGAGTCTCACTTTGTCGCCCAGGCTAGAGTGCAGTGGCGTAATCATTGCTCCCTGCAGCCTCCACTTCCTGGGCTCAAGTGATCCTCCTGTCTCAATCTCCCAAGTAACAGGGATTATAGGCATACTACCACACCCCGATAATTTTTTGATTTTTTTTTTTCTTTTTTGAGTTGGAGTCTCACTCTGTCGCCCACACTGGAATGCAGTGGCCGCTCCGGCCACCGCATCCTTGACCTGCTGGGCTCCGGCGATCCTTCCGCCTCAGCCTTCCAAGTAGCTGGAACTACAGGCGCGTGCTACCATGCCCAGCTAATTTTCGATTTATTGTGGAGATGAGGTCTCGCCAAGTTGCGCAGGCGGGTCTCGAACCCGGGGGCTCAGGCCATCCACTCACCTCAGCCTCCCAAAGCGCAGGATTACAGGCTGAGCCACTGAGCCCAGCTTGTTTACTCATTTCTATGTAGAAATGGGGCTCGCTCTGTCGCCCAGGCTGGTGTGCAGTGACGATGATAGCTCACCACAGACTCGAACTCCTGGCCTCTGGTGTCCTTTTTTCCCGTTGAAATTCCTATTCGTTCTTTTAAGCTCCACCTCTAAAACCCCCTCTGAAAAATCTCCAACGTGCCTCCTGCTGTTTCAGCCTTGTACTCTGCTCTGTCCCATCTCTGGCTGACTCTGGGCATATCTGGGCTGGGATTACTTTTTCTTCAAATCCCTGCTTCCTTGTCTGCTTGGAGAGGCTTCTGCTGGCTCCCTAGGTGGGCCATCCCCACTGCTATTGCCCACCCCCTCGCTGTATCTCTCCTCAGCTACTTGGGAGACTGAGCCTGGGGGGATCACCGGACTTAAGAGGTCGAGGCTGCAGTGAGCCATGAGTGTGTTGCTGCACTCCAGCCTGGGCCACAGAGTGAGACCCTGACTCAAAAACAAAAAAAAAGAAAGGAAGGAGTAAATACATAAAAAGCGTTCCCGTTGGGTGCGGTGGTGCACGCCTGTAGTCCCAGCTACACCGGAGGCTGAGGCTGGAGGATCCCTTGAGCCCAGGAGTCTTGGGCTGTAGTGTGCTATGCCGATTGGGGGTCTTCACTAATTTCAGCAGCGGTCTGGCGACTAACAGGTTACCCAGTGCAAGGTGAACCAGCCCAGGTCAAAACTTCCTTGCTTCTCAGTAAGAACGTGCTTGTGAATAGCCTCTGTACTCCAGCCTGGGTGACACAGTGAGACTCTGTCTCTGAAAAGACAAAAAAAATTGAGGCCGGGCGCGGTGGCTCACGCCTGTCATCCCAGCTCTTTGGGAGGTGGAAACAAGAGGATTGTCTGAGCCCAGGGGTTCGCGACCAGCCTGGGCAACTTGGCGAGACATCGTCTCTACAGTAAATCAAAAAATCAGCTGGGTCTGGTGGCACGCGCCTGTGGTTCCAGCTTCTTGAAGTGAGGTGGAAGGATCGCCTGAGTCTAGCAGGACGAGGCTGTGGTACCCGTGAGTGTGCCCCTGCACTCCAGCCTGGGCAACAGAGTGAGATTCCTACTCAAGAAAAAAAAAATCAAACCGGGCACAGTGGCTCACGCCTGTAATCCCAGCACTTTGGGAGGCCGAGGTGGAAGGATTGCCTGAGCCCAGGGGTTCGAGACCAGCCTAGGCAATTTGGCGAGCCCTCACCTCTACAATAAGTCAAAAAGAATAGCCAGGTGTGATGGCACGAGCCTGTAGTTCCAGCTATTAGGGAGGCTGAGGCGGGAGGATTGTCTAAGCCCAGGGGATGGAGACTGTGAGTGTGTCACTGCACTCCAGCCTGGGTAACAGAATGTGACTTCAACTAAAAAAAAGAAATCGGTAGGGCACAGTGGCTCACGCCTGTAATCCCAGCACTTTAGGAGGCCGAGGTGGAAGCATTGCTTAAGCCCAGGAGTTCGAGGCCAACCTGGACAACATAGCGAGACCTCGTCTCTACAAAAAAATTTTCAAAAGCTGCTGGACGTGGTGGTGTGTGCCTATAATCCCAGCTATTTGGGAGGCCGAGGCGGGAGGATCACCTGAGCCCAGGAGGTAGAAGCTGCGGTGAGCTGTGATCTTGCCAGTGGACTCCAGGCTGGGCGACAGCGTGAAGCTTTGACTCAACAGACACAAGAAAAAGAAAAATCCTAAAAAGGCATTCCTGGCCAAAGCACGGTTGCACTGGGCTGGGGGCTGGGTCTGCAAATAGGAGCACGGTCCTGTCTGCAGGGCGAATCACTCTGCCCCTACAGAAGCTACAGGACATGGACGAGCGGAGGGCCAGCCGCCTGGGCGCCGGGTACGGGCTCCTGTCGGAAGCCGAGCTGCAGGTGGTGCCCATCATTGCCAAGTGCCTGGAGGGCATGAAGGTGGCCGCAGAGGCCGTGGATCCCAAGCACGTGGGTGCCCGGGCCGGTCCGGTGGGCAGCGGGGAGGCCGTCCTCCCCCCTCCGGAGGCCTGGAGGCCGGGCTGCTCACCCCTCCCCGTCCCCTCCCGCCCCAGGACTCCCAGGTCCTCATCGAGCTGCACAAGTCAGGCTTCGCCCGCCCCGGCGACGTGGAATTCGAAGACTTCAGCCAGCCCATGAACCGGGCGCCCTCGGACAGCAGCCTGGGCACCCCCTCGGACGGCCGGCCTGAGCTCCGAGGCCCGGGCCGCAGCCGGGCCAAGCGCTGGCCCTTCGGCAAGAAGAACAAGGTGGGGGCCTCGGGGGCAGGGGGGGAACGGACGGGGAGTGGAGGATCGGCCTCCCCCCTCCTGAACGCCGAGTCCCGGGCAGGAATTTTCCTCTTGGCTGCCGGCCCGGGCTGGAGGGAAGGGAGGCGGGTGTGCGGATCCCGGGCCTGGGAGTCCCCCAAGGCAGAGGGGGCAGGGTGGTGTCTGTCTGCTGCTTCCTGGGATGTGGGGAAGGGGTGACCCGTCTGTGGGATTCAGGGCTGGCCTGCCGGCAGGGAATGCCATCTCCCACCCCCCCGGGGACGTCCCATTTCTCCATCCTGCGGGGATGGGTCTCTGGGTTCCCCCACCATGCCCGATCCTTTCGGGATTTTCCACGTCCCATGTCAGACTATACCTTGACACCCTTGGTTTATACCTCTGGAGACCCTCTTCTCCCCAGTTCACGCCTTGGGGCCCCTGGTTTGCGCTTGTGATTGCTGGATACCTCTTCTTGACGCATGCCTGCCATCTCCCGGCTTAAACCTTGCCTTCCTCCGAATCCTCTGATATTTCTGGTCTCCAACGCCTCTCCCAGCCTTTTTCCTGGACCCCCCGTGGTCCCATACCTGTCTGAGACCTGGGTTCCTGCATGTGTCTCCCCGCCTCCCCACCCCACGAGACTGTGAGCTCAGAAAGCTGGGTGGACGGAGACATGGCCCTCCCTGGGTCCATGCGAGTTCCTGGACATGAGGGTCAAGGGACATAGGAGATTTGGTGGGGGGGTGTCTTAGCCTTCTGGCTCACAGTCCGACATCTTCCTTGCCGTCACCCGGATTTTTATGTCGCTCTCGCATGCATTTTTTTTCCGTGCACGACTGTGGATCTTGAGTTGTGGTTTTCTTACCGTTACATATTTTTTTTTCTTTCTCCATTTTGTTTCTCTTTTTTTCCTTTGGTTGTGTCCGTCCGTCCGTCTTTCCGTCCATTCGTCCTCCTCCTCTTCGTCCTCCTATCCTCCGCCCTTCCCCAACTCACCCCTGTCCCCGGCCTCCGCCGGTAGCCTCGCCCCCCACCCCTCTCTCCCCTGGGGGGCCCCCTCCCCTCGGCACTGCCTAACGGACCCCCGTCCCCCCGCTCCGGCCGCGACCCCCTGGCCCTACTGAGTGAGATCAGTAAGTCGGTCAAACCGAGGCTAGCATCCTTCCGCAGCCTTCGAGGCAGCCGCGGGGGAAGTGAGGCCTCGGGGCAGGAGGAGGTGGTGGTCCCAGCCTGCCCAGTGGCAGCCGGGTGGCGGGACCCCGGGCTGGCTTCCCACCGCTGGCTGGACCCTTCCCACCCCTCCATCCCCTCCCCCGGTTGCCTGATCCCCCCCCAGACCTGCTTTGCTCAGTGCATGGCCTCCACGCCAAGAGCCTGGGACAGGGAGGAAGGTGGACTGTGTGTGTCTCGGAGGTGGGCGGAGCCTGGCAGCTTGGACTCTGCCCACCCTCATTCAGGCCCCTCCCCACCCCCTGCAGACAGTGGCAACCGAGGACTTCAGCCATTTGCCCCCTGAGCAGCAGAGAAAGCGACTGCAGCAACAGTTGGAAGAACGCAACCGTGAACTTCAGAAGGAGGTCGACCAGAGGTGAGGCGCCCGGTGGGCGGCAGGTGGGGAACACGATACAGTAATAAATGCATTGCCTGTTGTTGTTTTTTTTCATTTTTATTTTTAGGTAAATAAAAGTGTATTTATCTGGCTCTGTTGCCCAGGCTGCAGTACAATGGTGCCCTCATAGGTCATGGCAGCCTCTACCTCCTGGGCTGCAGCGATCCTCCCGCCTCAGTCTCCTGAGTAGTTGGAACGACAGCTGCTTGCCACCATGCCTGGTTAATTTTTAGTTTTTTAGTTTGTTTGTTTTTTTTATACTGACAGGGTCTTGAAATGTTGCCCAGGTTGGTCTCAAACTTCTTGGCTCAAGTGATCTTCCCCCCTCAGCCTCCCAAAGTGCTGAGATTAAAGATGTGAACCCCTGTGCCTGGCCCAGAATTACTTTTTTTTGTTGTTGTTGAGTTGGAGTCTCACTCTGTCACCCAGCCTCGACCTGCTGGGCTCCGGCGATCCTTCCACCTCAGCCTTCCAAGTAGCTGGAACTACAGGCGCACGCTACCACACCCGGA